ATCTCCTGCAATGACATCTTTTTAATTTCAATTGTCAATGTCATATTTTTTTAATGTGTATCTCTTTCAAGATTTTTATTATATAATCACTTGTGTAATTCAGCCAACAATGCATATGGCTGCCAATCAATGTGAATAAACTGTTGAGTATCAGTATCAAAAATTCAAATCAGCCACAAACAGCAGTCTTATAGACTAATAGACAGTTTATTGCCACTTTGATTCGTTGGATTTTTTTTAGAAAAGGTGACAAAAAAATTATGGTGAAAAAAAAAATGTCTATACAAAAAGACCTAGGCATCTTACATGTACATTGTATGATAGCCCCAAATGTTATATAGGAGCCATGAAGTCAACATATTATATACCAGGCTGGTCTGTAATTTAAATGCTGAATTCCAAACCTTTACTCACATCACTGCATTAATAGATGGAAAAAACTGTAACAACTCTGAAGAAAACTTCCTTTAACTGTTGGGGCTAAAATATGAGCATTTTGGACTTGATTCAAAGGCTGTCCTTTTATTACAGTGCGTTATATCATCACACATAATGTATTTTATTATCATTATATTATTAATACCTAGCCTGACTAAACTGCTTAATGAATGTTTATCAGTCAGGGAAGGGGCGAATAATTACCACCACAGTGAGAGATTGTGGAACACAGGCTAATTAAAACCTGAAGAAGATTACAAACTGAATGAGATATGATATTAATTTTTTCCAATAAGGTTGCCATTCATGAAAAATCACTTTGCAGAGATTCATCTAATATGCTAGGAGCCTGTTTTCTTCAGACATAGAGTATCTAGTATTTGCTGTGTTTCTAATATTTTCTTCATATCATTTTCAATTTCAATTTATTCAATTCAACACGAATCGTACAAAAGCAGAAATTGGCTAACGCACCCTTGAATTGTGCTCTGATCTTCACAAAGAGTTGATTAAAAATCAAGACACCATGTAAAATCAACATCCAAACAGCCATGGGTTGTCATTGTCAACCATTGTCATTATAGAGTTGTACAGCACAGTGTAAAAAAGACATTGAGTCCTAGCTTTCGGGAAGGATTCATATTCATTAATTTGCTTCAAACCAACTCACACAATATGTACATGTTGACCACCACTTGCATTGCTGCAGGTTTGCCCAAGATGGCGCCAACTTTTCCCTGAGTTCTGATGATCCCAGAGTCTTCCTCACATCACTGACAAGAGAACGGAAATTTGTGAAAGAAAACTGGGGCTTTGATGATGCCTTGATTTCTACCCTGGTTAGTAGCAAATATTATTTTTTAATTTTATGATACATTAATGTCATGAACAATGCCAGTGCCTAAAATAGTATTCAGAGCTCTTATTGACACAATGTACTGTTACTAGCCTGGGTGCCATTCGATTTGTAATGGCAACCCCCCAAAAACTTTTTTTGGGGCTGCCATTACAAATCGGATGGCACCCAGGCTATACTGTTACAGTAGTAGAGAACTAAATCAGTAGCCAGTCAGTGTTATGTGGCATGAGTTCTTTCCACAAAAGTATGTTGCTGGAAGAATGAGGCTGGAAGTCACTGTCACCAACCACACCACATCTGGTAGCCTGTTTCAAGGCATGCGTGGAAACAGCAGTATTCTAAATAGCATGAATTTTTATGTCATCTCAATCTCGAGCACTGGAGTCTGGCGGCATGTTCCCCATGAAACATTTGAAATCTTGAGCCTCTGAAATGCCATTCCCTGCATTTTGAGGGGCATATTTTGCTGTTAGACTAAGCTTAGCTTCTCTTTTCATACCTTTCCAAACCAATTTTTGTCCATCAAAGATGACAGATTGACAAAGACTTTAAGCAGCAAGATTCCATCAAATGACAGAAAGACAGACGCTGGCTAGAACACTGAATGTATCTCCATGGCTAGGCTGGTTTTTGTCACACCTGAATGTGTACAGTTGTGATATGTAATGTGTAAATCCTCTTCAAGTCAGGTGTATACATTTTATTGATTCTGGAGGTAGTTAGTATGGTATCTGTGATGACCAGAGGGGGATGTAGTTGTTGTCCATTCACACCAAAATAATGAAAAATGCTACAGGAGGTTAAGTGATATAGTAGAGACATGCACTCATGATTAACACAACCTACATGTATCACGTTCCATAGTGCTACATACATGGACCAGGAACATTCAGAAAGGTCATACCTTAAACTATTGGTCTTGTCCAAGGAGTAGCAAATGCTCGTTGAGGTCCATACTTAACAGTTGATATACATGTATTTAGTAAATTCTTGAGTTTAGAACATTATCAAATTGGCATTGTTGATTTGTTTAGATGAGGTTAAAGAGACATTGATATTAAAATAGCCTGGGTTCCAGTCTTGTTGTGCACAACAAAATGGTATTTCAGGCTAATGGTAAGTATGTAAATCAACATGTGATGTCTTGTCTCTGCAGAATCTGAATGCAGCACGAGCATGTTTCTTACCGGAGGCAGACAAGGCCAGACTTGTGAGCCACGTCCAGATGCTCCAGGGACCCTGAGCACCTGACTGAGTGAATAGTGCTAGTCTCACTGAAATAAAAACACCTGCAGTGGGTGTTATTGGAAGACAGGCAAAGTCCAGACTAAAAACAAGAAATAGCCATGCCTTCAAGTACCAGAGTTATCAACCAAGAATTCAAGATGTTCAAAACCTCATTCTTTCTTCGAACTATTGCAGAGTGGGGCTTGCTGTCACTAAGTACAGTAGAGGCGTTATATTACATAGCTTTAAACAATGTTTAGAGTTAGTCTTAGATGTTCAAGGGTTACATGTAGGTGTAACAAGTCGTTCGGTGTAAAATAGCCAACTGCTGCCGCGCCGCGTGCCTGGAAAGCTGGTGTGTTATGACGAGGGGCAGTTATGCTGGCTATACAGAATACAGATACAGAATGGTCATATAAATACTCACAACAACACTTACATTATTGATATTAAGTCTAACTATAAAACAGCTGTAAGCACTAGTATATTGCTTTGTTGTAAACTAATTTTAATAACCAGGTATATATTTTACATGATTTAGATTTAGATTTACTAATTGTTTTGTTTATTATTGGGGGAGATAAGAATAGTGAAACAGTGTGCCTGATTGCACACCAATCCTTTGGTCAGTTGTTCAAACTTGTCAAGTTGACCTCAGTTTTTTATCTCCTGTTGATGTTTCTCATCATAAAAACTAGCTGCTTCTGATCTCAGCAATGTCATGTGGCAATTGTAATTATTGAATAAACTATATGAGATTTATTAGATAGAGGTGTATGAAAATATGAGATGTAAAAATTGCATTGCAAAGGAAATCAAGTTTGATACATCTAATAGAACTAAAGTTAGGTTACCTATAGATTTCTTGAGGTTTCAATAATTTTAAGTATATACTGTGATGTTTTCGTCAATCTGTTGTTTTTTATCAAATGGTATCAATTTGTCATTTTTATCATGTACTTGTACCTGTAGCTCTATTGAGAGTCTTGCATGGGGACTCTCAAGATATGATTTACTAATTTACCTTGAATGTGCATTACAAAGCAAATAAAACAAGAATTTGGAGATCTCATACCTCCATGAAATATGAGTTTTTGTAAATGCTTTTTATTTGTCTCATTGACTATGAAAATAAGATCGTAATTAGCATAATCTAGTTTAATCTATGGTTTTCTAAATTCAAATGGCAATATTTTTCGTGTAAAATTCCTCTCCTTTGCCATGGTTCATTTCAACATGTCCTCATTAATTATGCAAATAACCTCTACATTAACATAATACATGCATAGTGGTGGTGTTAACCTTTAAGTAACTTACACATGTCAATGAAATGGTGAAAACATGTTCATTTCTTGACTTATCTGCTTTAAAAGTTTTTACCAGAAACTAACCTGCAGTTCCAGAACAAGCTGCTAGGGGGCCAAACTTACACCACTTATTCCTGACAGGATAAGCTATCTGTCACCAAAAAATCAAGACAATAGCATGTTCAGGACAAAAGATACAAAAAAATGGAATTTGTGCTGCAGTACCAAGGTCATCCACCAGGCCTAGGAGGCCCATATTTGACCTTGACCTTCTTCTTCCTAAGACTTACCAGCATACCAAATATCATCACAATACACGTAAAGGCGTTATGAAGTTATGCTGACTACAAATGTGCAGAAACACACACACCAAAAACAATACCTCCATTTTGGAGGTAACAATAATACCTCCATTTTTCATGGAGGTAACAGTACTTCGGAATCCATTTTTCATGGAGGTAATGAAGTCCAATGAAATATTACTGTGTAGCTATTTGTTCAACCTTCATGACCACCCAGATTTCATAACGAAGGCAACTTAAATTTATTTGCAAACTTTTTTTTTATTTGCACGCTCATGTCAGTTTTGGGGTTCCCCGTGGATGTCACACATATAATCAAATCAACATGGCTTTACCTAAATCTCTGTCTTCAGTTTCATGCATTATATATATATCCATGTCTCTTGCCTTATTGAAGTGGGGAATTACAGCTTTAGTTCACAAGTTAGCTTCTTTGTGATATTGTGTTAGTCTAAGCTTAAGTTAAGCGCACCAACAAAAAAAACACAATTGCTGTAACGTTACATGTACATGTATGTGATACATTTTATTCCTCATAGTCCATGATTTCCCTTTTCTTCAGCCAAAAATTAACATTTCACCTGTTCCTGCAGGTAACAATTTGCAAAACACAAAATCTAAACAGCTCCTAACAGTTATTTACAAAAGATCATACAAGATCACATTATACAAATGTGAAGTGTTTTTATTTCATTAATATTTCTATATATAACCTACTTGGTTATGTTTTTGCTGTCAATTTTTCTAAAACTGATTTGGCTACTACTTGGAACTTACAGTGGGTTGCAAAGGGTGCATTTTTGGTATGATCTGTTGCTTCCACCTTGAGAAAGGCAAACATAATCAATATTGGTGACTGAATAGAATTTCTAGAAGTTTCCATAAATTACATGTACAACAGTACTGTAATCAACAGATACTGTCCCTCAGTGCTATCTCTTACAAGCTTCTATCCAATGTTCCACAGTACCAACACTCTATTCTATGAAACGTTGGTTACTCAGGTGCTACATTAATACACAACAGCCTGCAGTTTTTTGTTTTTTCTTCTGCAGTGCCGCGCGAGTGGCTGACTCAAAGACATCGCGAACACCTTCTCTCGTCTTGGCAGAACACTCGATGTACGCTGTAGCGCCAACCTTCTTGGCCATCTCCAACCCTTCTTCAGTCGAGACGACTTCTTCCTTCATTTCCGCCAACTCTTTCCTGCGAGCTTTGTCCGTTCTCAAGTCTTTCTTGTTTCCGACCAATAGGAAAGGTGCTTTGGGGCAGTAGTTCTTGATCTCGGGAACCCATTTGTCTGCGACATTGACGAAACTGTCCCGATTGTCGATAGCGAAGCAGACAAGCAGCACGTCTGTCTCGTACGTACCGTAGGACAGCGGGCGCAGTCGGTCGTAGTCTTCCTGTCCTGCCGTGTCCCACAGGGCGAGCTCCACCTGCACCAATCAACAGTTATGATACAATCTTCAGTACACCAATCAGGCCGATCAATAGTTATGGTACAATCATCAGTATACCAATCAGACCAATCAACAGTTATGGTACAATCATCAGCACGCCAATCAGGCCAATCAATAGTTATGGTACAATCATCAGTACATCAAACCAATCAACAGTACTTATGGTACAATCAACAATACACTGGTTACTTAATCTGACAAACAGTAAGACATGACTCTAAGAAAAACCAACAGAGATCCACATTGCTAACACACTAGTAGTATCACTGTGTTTTGGTACTTTCTGTCTAGTTTGAATTTGAATTTTGATGACATACGCTCACCCTATGGGGAAACTGTTACAGAAGATGACAGTCAACAGTCATGATTGTGAATAAATAACTTTGGTATTCAGTCATTCACCAAACTGATGAAATTATTTATGTACAGTGAACACTTTTGGACATAGAATTGTTGGTAACCTTTGACCTTAGGCCTGAGTGAGTGAGTGAGTGAGTGAGTGAGTGAGTGAGTGAGTGAGTGAGTGAGTGAGTGAGTGAGTGAGTGAGTGAATGAATGAATGAATGAATGAATGAATGAATGAATGAATGAATGAATGAATGAATGAATGAATGAATGAGGTCTGAGCTTACTTGTTTTCCATCCACCTCGATGTCTGCTACATAGTTCTCGAAGACAGTAGGAATGTAGACTTCTGGGAACTCATCATTTCTGAAGACGATGAGCAGGCAGGTTTTCCCACAAGCCCCGTCACCCACCACAACCAGCTTTCTCCTGATTGGCTGCGGAACTGTCCCCATTTTCTGTCAAGCAAGAAAATCAGAACATTACCACTTCATGTGTGGCTGCTGACAGAAGCAACATTACATTTTTGCACCAAAAATTGAAATTTTTCAATTGAAAAAATCTTCATGTGATTGAAATTTACTTCCACTTTTCAACATACTTGAACAATTATCTCACATTTCTGACCTTTAGTTATATGGTTGACACTAATAATAAGACAGCCCACACAAGGTGCATTCAGTTTGTGCATGTGGCACCACCACAAAATACTAGAAAGTAAACAAACATGGCTGACAGCTGTGTTTCCAGCTTTTAATTTTAAAACACATTCATGACATATTTTGGCACCCCCACTTGATGAAAGGCACTTGTAAGTGCTGATTCAACTTACTTCCAGAAAATTGACTTTTTGTATCCTCCTAATGATACAATAACATAATTCTGGACCAGAAATATGCAGAAACACACAAACACACCAAAAACAATACCTTCATTTTTCATAAACGGAGGTAAAATTACGTATACCTCACTGAACTTATCTATCTAAACATACATTAGGAGAAAATACTAGTTTTGGGTGCGTAGTCATGGGAACTGTTGTTACAAGGCTGGACATGGTACCATCATAACAAGTACCAAAGGTCAACAAGCCATACCTGAGGTGATAAAGGTGTGTTTACTACACCATTGTGAAAAGATCAAGTCGTTAATATAAAAACTATGGAATAATACTAGCTGCAATGTTACATATTATAGGAAAGAATATATACTGTCTCCATGTCTTGGACAATGCCATGCACATTGTGAAATACCGTAACGTTTCGTCTGCACATTCTGCAGTGTTTATATTCTAGTCGCTTCCTAGTCCCACCCATAATACGTCATCAAGGCCTGCAGTGGTGGGGAAGTAAGGTGGGTGGTTTCCTTGCCCAGGGGCATATCACTCAGGAACACATTCACACATTCCTTTTGAACTGATCACTGATATTGGGTACAGTCAGATTTCTACAATCTCATAGACTAGAAGACATTAAGAATAGAACATCTACCATATTATATAATAATGTTGATAATTTCAGTAACTTCACGACGATAACAGCAACAAACAGGACACTTTGTTTTCCTGTATGGACTGTTCCTACTGGCAACATCCTGACTGCAGGGCGCATGTGCACCTTAGTGCACCCAAGTTTGGAGCTGTGCACCCAATTTTTTTCTGTGTGTGCACCAGTGCATCCAAATATGTTTGTAGGTTTAAGATGTTAGTGGTATACAGCATAGTGTCAGACGAATATACTTTCTTTAGGAATGAAAGATAATTAGTTTTTGCTGACATTCTAGCACATCGGCAGAATGTACTGCGCCTACACCAAAGCCTGGATTTTCGCGGTTTTCTTTGGATTTTTGGTCAACGTTGCATAAGAATTTTGCCTGTTGCAGACGATATCTTTTCCGACATAACATTAGAAAACTACTGTCAGAATATAACCTTATGATATGAGCAAATACAACCTTATATGCGACGTGCTGAAGTGCTATATGTACAATACATTACAGGTTTTGCACAGGTGCAGTACGTTCTGCCGATGTGCTTACTTATTTTATCTTATATGGTGCTCACATTTTTTTCAGTTAAGTTGCATCAGTGAATTCCCAAAAATGAATTTCGAGCCCTGTGACTGTTATCAATATCAATGACAAACACATGATGATTGAATCAGCTACACATACAATGTAAGACATTGGGACAAATTGCCGTTATACCAAACCAACTAAATAAATTCAATGTATGAAGTAACGTTTAGATATTCCTATTCAAAATAACGCTATACAAAATATCAAAACCCAAAACAACAAAAAGAGGAAATGAAACCACATGAAGGACAGGTAACTCTACCAGTATATCCACTTGAGTCCACTGCTTATGTTTTACTAGTACCTAGATCATCGCTATGTTAATCATCAAATTGATATCCTCACAAAAGAGTAGATTCTGAAAAACTTGGTCAGCTTGGATTGAAGCAGGCCATAAGGTTAACGTTACAGGTAACGTCTGCAAAGACTGACTACGTGACCAAAGCAGTATTGGAGCCGCCGAACTAGAAACCAACACGACAAAGCTTTTTGTTCACCAACTGGATCGCTAACATGGGTTCAGGGATTTGTTCAGCTACCAGACTTCATAATTTTGGAGCATCTGTAAAACCCACCAAGCCGATTAAAGCAACAAATACTGAGAATGCACCCCACTCATGGGTCACTGTGACCATAAGGCATAAAACTAAAACTACAGCCCTCCCTTCCCCGCTTACCCGGGGATATTTGGTCACAGTGTGGGCGACCCTGACAGCGTCTACATTTGCTAACGTTACATGCTACCTAACATTGTACACTAGCCCGTTATACTAACCTTCACGCTTTAAACCAAGGACCACGTTTCCTTCTTCAGGGTTCTTGGAAACTCTGATTCGTGCCAGCCAGTTGCGACACAGCCGCACCGCCGACCTGCTGGAATTTACTGACTTCCGTGCGTGACGTCAGTACTTATAGGCGCGGCGCTGAGGCCCAAAATAACCGGCCAATCACAGACGGGCTGGTTCCCCTGGCTGACTCACGCGCCAATTATAATCTACACAAACACGCCCTTCGGACTTCGGTAATTGCCTTTTCTATTTTATTCTAAACTAAAGATTGGATATCTACAAGGTGCATACCCAGGTGTAATACGTCATTCAACGTCATTATTAAAATTGCACTGTATTCCGTAAAATTGCATAACGTTGTACTCTGATACCCCGAGGATCACATATCTCTTAACCTAAACACCACGTAACGTCGTCGCCATGGAAATAACGTTATACTTTTTTATTGCCTGCCTTGATCCTGTCAATAGTGCAAAATATTCTGTTATTGACAGGATCATACTGTCTACTGCTATTTCCATCTTCATCTAGCCTGACTCTCGCCGGCTCCCTAGTAGTCTTGGGTGGCGGACAATGTAGGGAGCCCCCCGGAGCTTGGGTTTCACAGGCTACATCTTCATCGAAACTGCCGTAAAAATACCCCCTGTCGCTAAGGGTTTTGGGAATCGGAAAAAAGTGAATGGATCCGTGCAAGGACATTATGACAGAGATAATGTCCTTGATCCGTGTAACGCGTTGGGCATTGGAACATGGTATCATTCTTCAATTTTATTATTACCTCCATGAACAAGAATTCGGAGAACTCCTACCACGAGCTCCATGAAATATGTAGAGTTTATGTAAAATTGTTATTGGGCGGATTTGTCTCAATGTATATGGAAGTAAGGTCGTAATTAACAGTTAAATTTATGATTATGATGTATGTAATGTTTCACCTGCCATCACATGTATGAAAGTACTATAATGTAAAACACTAACTACAGAATTTCCTACTTAATTATGCAAATTTAGCCTTCATTTGCATAATTTGCATTTAATTATTTACATCTCTCTATTTATTTATAAGCTACCTATACACTTTTATACACCACTTCTTTCATACATTAAAAGCTACATGTCGACCACAAATGAAGATCATAGCATCTCCAGGGGAAAAGAAGGACTGGTGTAATAGAATTCCCTCATTAATCGTGCGAAGTTATATGCCCCAAGGAAACTTTGTCTCATCCCCAGAGATAATGAAAACAATACGTCCGTTCACAGAGGTGACAATCGGATAATCAAACACGTTTTATTTCCCAATAAACATCACTGCACCAATTACAAACTTTTAAATTGGGCACATTGTTACATTATATCTAAGGCATTTACATTACTACAAAATCATGTATATCACATTAAACTTTAGCCACTTTTCTTACATAAAATATGAAATAAAGATGATTATAATCCCGTCTACTTACATAAAATTGACATTATGAAAGGCACACCAATTCTTGGCACGATAGCAATATGAAAGTATAAAAGTATAAAATGTCGACTGACATTGAGCGGTTTATACATAACAGTCCATAACAGTCTATTCATAAAAACCAGCCTCGCAGCCTGTACAAAAACATGCTGAATAACACTGATTTTTTACAGTTACTTGACTGGCAAATACAACATGGACATGTGCAAGCACACGAACAAAAACACTACAAAAAGCTAGCCTCACATGGGCACTAAAGTAAAGACCAGAGCATCCTAATAGTCTTACTGTGAAGACTTTAGAGCTTATGAGACACTTTCAAAGAGTTTACAGCATTTAGCAATATATACAAGGAACAACAGCATCAACATGCAACATCTCAAACTTGCCTTGACTAGTTTAGTAAAAGGGCAATGTGATGTGGCAACAAACAAGTGTTAAAATACAATCTTTGGTAAAAAAAGATCCGTTTAAGATGAGTCAGTCCCGCTAACTTGGATTTATTAAGGGAATACGCGATCGTGAAGATTTTGACCCGCTTCATAAAAAGTTTAAATTTTCTGCTTTTGGTAATCAAGCTATGTCTACGGTATATACGTTTGATATAAATGTTGAGATTTGATGTCTCAATTTGAGTTACATGTAACCTGTTTGAAGTCGGGAGGTGGTTGCGAGCATGCCGTGGATATACAAGTAATGAAATTTTTAATTTTCGGCATTGTACATGTAATGAAATTCCGAGAAGAATCAGAACATATAGTTCACGAAACGATTCAAACAAATGAAATATAACAATAAATATAACTGGCAAACCACCCCTAGGCAGCGGCCTGCGTTAGGGGCCAGACCGGGGCCTGGGGTTCTGGCCAGGGCAGAGATCTAGAGAAGGGTCAGGGTCTCATGACTCTTGCTGGACGGGTGAACCAGACGAGCGTCGTCGTCGCACGACTGAGGAAGCATCAGGCGTCAGCCTCTCGTCGCTGCTTGAAGGACTTGTTAATTTGCTCTGCTCTTGCCAGGATTTCTTTAAAGGATGGTCGCTTGGTGGGTTCCTTCTGCCAACACTGTTTCATCACGTCGTTGTACCTAAAAATATAAATATAGCTTTTTAATGCAAACGCTATAGCTGACCGGTTTATGAAGTAAGATAGACCATGCCCGTAGCCGGGGGGGGGGGTCCGGGGTTTTTGGACTGATTTGCATCACCAGCTGAAAACTGCTCACTTGGTCATTGAATAAAAAGTTATGTCTGATTTTATTTTTCTTTGAAATCCTCTCAAAAATGCAGGAATTGCCACTTCAGAAGGTTAATTTTTCAAAATTTCCCGGGGGAGCACGCCCTCGGACCCCTAAAAACCTCGCGCCTTCGGCGCTCGCTGGTCCCTCAGACATGGGAAGAACACCCCGCCCCCCCCTTCAAAATCCTGGCTACGAGCATGTAGACAATCGAACAATCGACAATCTTTGGAACAAATCCTGAAGTTTCATAAAAGGGTGGCATATGAAGTATCGGATGTGCACTGGTTCACTGTGAAACTCTTACCACAGTGTACAATGTAAATATCGCTAACCTCTTGCAGCTACGCTGAACAAGCCTGGAAGTACCCTGGGGGCCAGCCGAGATACTCCTAACACCGAGCTCCCCGAACCGACCAGATGTGGCCAATGGGGGCCCGGGATAAGGGGATGTTGTCGGCGGGCTGGATTGTAAAGGAGACGGGAAATTGTTGGGAGCGAGCAGGTCTGATAGGTCTGGCTCCCAGGGTAACATCGATTGCGAATTCCACTTACAGTGCGATGGGACACTTGTTGGGCCTCCCCATGCGTCTTCCTTCCTTCAGGTAGCCAATCAAATGGACACTCGGCACATCGGGATATGGAGTCTTTCCACCGGAAAAGATTTCCCATAGAACGATACCGTAGGACCACTGAAACAGAAACCTCGTTAGCGTCAATGGCATCTTTACCAGCTCTGCTACTTTTAATATGTAGGTTGTGTTGTGTTGTGTTGTGTTGTGTTGTGTTGTGTTGTGTTGTGTTGTGTTGTACTTAAGTTGTGTTGTGTTGTGTTGTGTTGTGTTGTGTTGTACTTAAGTTGTGTTGTGTTGTGTTGTACTTAGGTTGTGTTGTGTTGTGTTGTACTTAAGTTGTGTTGTGTTGTACTTAAGTTGTGTTGTGTTGTGTTGTACTTAAGTTGTGTTGTGTTGTACTTAAGTTGTGTTGTGTTGTGTGTACTTAAGTTGTGTTAAAAGGAGAATATCTACAGTTGTTTTTTTTTTTGTTGGACGGAAGTGTATTTCATCTTCCATCTTATTGACGGGCAGTATTTACCAGTTCTTTCGTGCACAGGTAACTTTTTGTTTCTTTATTTCAGGGGGACAACACTAATTCTAACAGCAAGTAAGTCACAATCTACTACTTCTAACAATAAGGGTATCCACTACAATCTATATTTCAGATTGGTTAAACCTCAGCTCAGTCTGAGCGACCGGTCCGACAATACAGACGGGGAGGGCACTGGTATGGCTCTGGTTCTCCCACACAGACTTACTTCTTTAACTAGAGTTCCCCGATCTCATACCTTCGCCAAATGATGTTAATCTTTATGACTGACAAATTATAGATTAGATTATTCCCCCCTGATTTAAGAAATAGGAACCTAATTTTCATGAATTATATCATTTTATAATAATCTCAACCAAAAAACAGTCTTATATTAACAAACAATGCATTCTAGCATTTCCTAATAAATTATGCAAATGAGGTCCTGATTTGAATAAATTATGTTTAATGATGTTCACCTCAATTTAACTTTCAAATACCACAAGTATGAAATTCCAGGCAGTTATCATTACATAATTATAAAATTTTCTCATTAATTATGCAAATTAAGTCATTATTAACATAATCAATATCTTCCTGTGTTTCTCTCGTTGTCAATTACCAATGTCACAAGCTTTAATTGTCCTATTATTGAATGCAGCTGATTTATATAATTTCTCCATAAATTATGCAAATTACATCAATATTTGCATAATTGTCACATAATTATATTAAGCATCACGTAAGCTACCTACATACCAAAAATCACGACGATCCGTCAACCGGTTCTTGAGTTATCCTTTTGAATATTTTCAAGAATTTATCCCTGCAGTTCCAGAGCAAGCCGCTAGGGGTCCTAAACTCACGTCACTTCTTCCCCAGCACAAGAGCTACCTACCATCTAAATTTCATCACCATAGCATGTCTAGATCATGAGATATCAAAACCGGAAGTTCAGCTGCAGTACCATAACAAGCCGCTAGGGGGTCCAAAATCTAATCATTTTGAGGTCTTATCAAGACCTACCCACCTACCAAGTATTAAGACAATCCATCAAGGCCTTCTTAAGTTATCGTGTTGACAGACAGACAGACACACACACACACACACACATACACGAACGCCCCTGAAAACATAACCTTCTTGGCGAAGGTAATAAGACCATTGAGTAAGTACAGTAGGGCAACTCACCACGTCGGTTTTTGTGTCAAATATGTAATCTTCATGACTCTCTGGTGCCATCCATTTATATGGTAGCTTCACCTGTAATGATGAGAGGTATCATTGGCACTTCTTGGATGTTTGTCGAGGTTGCACAGCACACAGAAGGCAAAGAGAGAAATGATAGAATACGCATCAATACGGCATTAGGTTCCTACTTGACGGATGGAATGATAGAATCAACAGGGTTGAATTTAGTAATTGTTAATCGCTATCGTAAAATCCTTAAATAAATAGCCAGGGGACGGGACGGGGGACGACACAAACCCTGTAATTTATGGTCGACGTCACAAAACAGATGGATTGCTCATTCCTTGACATAAAGACTTGTTCTATTCAATCGCAAAAGTTCAATAGTTCCGTTGTCTTGGAAATTACACTTAAAAGCAACAGCTGGCCCTGTGCTTCCTGTGCAATTTTGTGACATTTTGCTCATATTTGGGGCAACATATGAAAAACATCGATAGTGAAGGCTGAAAAGAGAGAACACTCAGTACAGACGTACATGTACCTCCCAGCTCTGTATCCTGTAGTAGCCTTTTTCGTGAACGTCTCTGCAAAGGCCAAAGTCGGCAACTTTTACTTGCATTTTATGGTCCAACCTGGAAAAGAAACAAAGATCCTAATTGAAAGGTTATCGATTTGACAGTCGATACAGAATTGTCATTGGTGTGGACGAAAGCAGACTGGGTTACAGTTTCCACCTTAATTATGTTTCCACCTTAATTATGTTCCTGTTAAAGATAGAGAAATATTTCTGACGGTTTGCATTTTAACAACAGTCTACACATGTGATTAACCTTCAGCTTTTATTCTTATAGCGAACAGCGTACATGTATATACTTATCAAATACAAACTACGGCGCAACATTATCACAAAAAGAGTGGTCCACTACTATCTGAAAGTAGCTTTCGATCAAGAATTTGCAAAGAATCTATCATTACTGTTGATACTTGATGGAACTGCACTTACAGTACCAGCAGCCCGTACAAAAAGACTGAAAAACTCTTTCTTACACAAGGCAATGTGCCTGTACAACGGGTCTTTGCAGTAACTCTCAGGACTCTCTGGACTTCACTTAAGTGCCCATCTGTGGCTTTGTAATGTGTTTGTTTGTGTGTCTGTATACGTATTGTAATGTTAATTTTATATTTGTATTTACTACACAATTGTAAAAAAAATCATTGTTATTCAGCTTGTTTGTGCACTAGCTGCAAGGCTGATTTTTAGGAATAAAACTTGAAACTTCAATCTTGATGCCGAGAAGCATTACTAATGGTCATAGAGTGACGAATGACACGATCAACAACACCTACATGCAATTCCTTGCCGCCAGGTCTCTGTGAACAATGTCCTTATCCGTGAGATACGCCATGCCGTGTGCGATCTCCAGGCACAGGCGTAGGTTTTCTTCCAGAGGCAGTGTCTACGAAAACCATACCCATCATAAGTGATTAAAGTATGATATATATCCATTAGGCCATGTTGATTTGATTGTATGGATGACATCCTCTTGGAACCCCAAAACTGATGCGACCGTGCAAATAAAAAAAAAAGTTTGGCAAAAAAGTTTCTTTCAATATGATATCTATGTGGTCATAATGGTTGACCAAATGACTAAACACACAGAGTATGGTAGGACGAATGATAAGAGACTATTTTCATTTCTTCACATTTTCTTCTTTTCCTCAATTGATTTCGGTATTCCATGACATAAATATTATATTAGTATTCCAATGCTTTTTTTTTGTAACATACGACATATATTCGCTCATTTTGTACGATTTACAGTATGGTCGAAAACTTTTTTCTGGAAACGGACGAAAATTCATGCGCGCGTGGATGTTATCCATATAATCAAATCAACATGGCCTTACATCTTCAGTACACAAGAACAATGCAAGTACAAATAAAGAGCTCTGCAAACTCTTCTTACGCTTCTTACACACACATGTAGAATGCTTTTAAACACAGGAGTATGCTATCACAGAAGCATGACATTATAAATGATAATACCCAACGAGTAACTAAGGGTTTTTAGTAAAGCCGTATATGGCTTTGTATGCTAAAATCAGTGTAATATTAAGCTGAGGCAAATTGACATGGCACATTATAGTCCTCAGCTAATTAATTCAATTATTAATTAGTATGTTTAAGATTCAGAGTGATTCCATCTAAGACTTAGATACGATGCGTACATCCTTGTAATCAACTCGCAGACATTGTTGATCTTTGCTTTTTTTGGTGTGACTTTCATGACAAGTGACGGTGCAGTTGTAGAACTAAAATGGTAGCGTGACACGAGCTGCATCACCTGTTTGTCTCTGAGGTATTTGTGCAGATCCCCGTGTTTCATGTACGGCAGAACGATCATAGCTTCGTTGCCATGTACGGACATTCCGAGGAGTTGGAGGACGTTGTCGTGCTTAAAGTTCACCATGCGAAGTCCTTCCCGCAGAAGTGATTTCATTTCAAGCACTGACGCTGTGTCTAGACGTGTAACTGGACTTGATTAATACTTGGTCAACGGCCACAATCGAAATGAATAATTGCACAGCATCAAAGAAACCACAGACGAAGACGTTAACTCAGCTCACAACAGCTAAGAAGTGAAAATAGATTGAGAATGGCAATGTCACCAGAGTTGACGGCTTCTTAAAGCATATCGCGAGCCCCAAGCAGCAGACGAAGATGCAAAAACGAAGAATCAAATGGACCGGGACCGTCACAGAAACTCAGGATCAACAAAGATGGGAGGAGTTGGTGGATACGGCAGCACTGCATGGCAACAAACAGTTCTGGAGATGGTACCAGTGATAAGCTGATGAAATAATGAGATTGAAGTCGAGCAAACACAGACGTACCAAATAGCGTCTTCACGGCACAGGTCACGCACCTATCCTGAGTTACGTAGACTCCGTATCGAACTTCGCCAAAATTTCCTGAAATGACCAAACCCATCATTTTTTTTATTTATTCGTTCGGCTGTAAAAAGACAAATTGTACAGCCAGGGCAGCCCAACTAGCCAGGCGGCTATTATTAAGGGCTTGCCCTGCTGACAGGACAAACATTTACACGCACAATACAACAATACAATTATTTACATTAACGTGGAGAGGTCAGGGTCATACACCTAGGGCTTATAGGGGTCGCCTAGAGAAACCGATCATCAACTAACATTTGATATTGGGGGGACTCTATAAAAAAATCATTGGAATGTTTTACTGGGAATAGCCATCAAATGATTTGTAAACTGGCCATGGTCTTTATTTGGATATTTGATATTTGTTAAATTTGCCCTATTGCATGCCCTGAAATATAAGTGGCCTACCCTTTCCTAGTGGCTCCATGAGAGTGATTTGGTCCTTGTAGATAAGGACCTGGTTAATTTGTGATCGTTTCTGTTCGCTGAACGTTGCCAGAAGACTGCTTGGCTCCTCATAGCCTCCGACTGTTCCATCAGACGAAACATATGAAGAGATGTGTCATTGAGTTGAAATTGTAACAACTTTAGCAAGCGTAACAGCATTGTAGATAGACGACGTATGTACGTAGCTAGGGTATGTAAACAAACAAGTGACTGACTTGTAGTGACAGTGACGGTAACGCCGGCGCTCTTGGTCTCACCCCTTACACTGACGACCGTGACGTTATATGACGTTCCTGACGCCAGATCGGTGAATTCGGCTTGAAGCTGGTCTGATGCATTCAAGTCGCGAGTTGCGATTCTCTGAAATTATGCAAACATTGCTTAGTCAACTAGCCAGTCAATTTCATCACCTACACTTCCTAATTGACTATTAAGGAACAATTCGTATTGAAAAAAAGATAACACTAATACACAAAAGCGTTGTCATGAGGAGTTTAAACTGCTATTTCCAACACATGAAATTGGACTTTTTCTACTGTACATCTCCAATGAGTTCCTTACCAAGACTGCAGTTGTGCAGTTGAAAATTGGAAATTATTGTTCTAATTTGCTTCATAATGGTTATAACGTTGCATGTACAATCGTACTCTAGTACTTTTACCTCTGGTTCCTGAACTGCAATTTCAAGCGTAACGACGTACTTGTCCACGTCACCGAAGTGTTGGATGTTGGTGAAGGCTGGCTTGAATTCGATGCCGAACGATGACTCGGTGGTGTCGACTACAGACACACACTTGGCATCTGGGAGGACTTGGAGGATATGTAGAGTATTTTCTAGGGCACAGCCTAGTAATTGGCTTTCTTATGTTAATATATGGGAAGTGTGTCAGAACAACATGTTCAAAAGTCACATGGCCGAATCTTGGACCTTTATAAACACACATTGGCAGGCCGGTAGTCCAACCTCTAATAAGCCCTATTGCACTACATACACACACACACGTGCACACACACACACACAAGCACATACACACCGCGTACACACACGCACGCACACACACTCACACACACACACGCACACACACAAGCACACACACACACGCACAAGCACACACACACACACACACACACACAAGCACACACGCACACACAAGCACACACGCACACACAAGCACACACACACACACAAGCACAAGCACACACACACACAAGCGCACCGACACACACACAAGCGCACACACACACACAAGCACACACACGCACGCACACACACACACACACACACACACACACACACACACACACATACACACGCACATACGCACAAACACGTGAAGCACCTACCTTTTCCATCAAGAAGATCTGCTAGATGGTTCTGTTCGGTGTGTCGTAGCGCCCTGCTGATTACCTGGGGGGACTTGTCTCCTTCCAGTATGCCGATTGTTGTCAGAAGCTTGTTCACAACCAACGATGCCGAACGGATGACAGCAGTGTGATCGGGTGACAAAACCTATACCATACAGAAAGAATTAAAAAATTAATAAATAAACAAACCAACAGTGCCTTCGTAGGCGTGACTCGGCTTATGTCGAGTGCCAGTTCTCCTCTACCACTTGCTGGTAACCCAGAAGATTCCTAGACGAAATTTGGCATTTGGAAATTTGGCATTATTATATTACTAGTATTAAAGAATAGTAAACACCAAAACCAAGTTTCATTCCCGTTTTGACGTGAAAATAGCTTTTTTTATGTTCCAACATGTAATCATAAGACGTGGTGACGGCACACTCAAGTTTTTTCAATTTATATTAATGCCGCCACCAACACAGGGGACAAATACATGACAGGACAATACTCATTTACACCTGAGCTAAGTGAGGAAAGTCGCGTAAAGTGCCTTTCCCAAGGGCACAAGATCGGTGGCATGTCAGGACTCGAACTCGGGACTTCTTGATTCCGAGTCGAGCACTCCACCGCTACGCCACACGACCCCACAAATATATCTTTCATTGTATATTCTAACCGGGAGTGAATCAGGATAAATATCTATTGAACTGTTTCGTACCTGATCTTTTTGAAAGTACACCAAGACGGGGTCGACATCCATTTTGAGAAGGCAATCCCAGAATTCCAGCAGAATCGGATTCACCGTTTGGTCTTCTTCTCTCACCGCGGAAAAAACTGCCAGAAAAAAGTCTCAGTTATCAAGAAGTAAATCGACCCACGAGACGAGAATAGACGTTCAAATATGGGAGATGTTGACAAAATACGTACTCATAACTGAAGAGTCCGGACTGAGGTATAGCGGGTCGTACTCCATTGGTGATTCCTCACTTTCCACATGTGGCGGCGGACAATCGGGTCTCTTGCGAAACCTGATATACACGTACATGAAGAAAACTGTGATGCCAGCAACCATGACCCCAGCAGATGCGGCCAGAGGTACGGTAAATTTCTCGGACCTCCTGGTGTTGTTGACACCAATCCCACTCGGGTCGGCTGCAAAAGCGGCAAAGACTCTTTTAGATTAGATTTTCAATGATGAAAAGTCTATTGCAAATTCGTGCCCGCAGGCTAATTGCAAATTACAAAACATAAGAGAGCAATGAAACAGAGTATAAAATAACTGAAGTCTACATGATAAAGGTAGCTGTCTAGAACTATAACTATGTCTAAAACTATGTCTGAAGGGTTTGACTTCTCTTCTCATCTCTCTTTTTGTTATGGAATGAAGAACATACTGCTGTTTAAAAATCGTTCTGCTACCTGGCCGGGGATGTAGCACATCTCCTGTCTTTTTACCAACTTACTAGTATCTAGGATATACATCCTGGATGATGTTAGTGATCTTAACTTAAAAGAATTCATCACTTTGATCTCAAATCATGACGAGATTATACGATATTTGGATTTTCTTTTACACAACCAGGGATTCTTTCTACACTGCTAACGTTTCGATGTCTATCAGACAAAAGCGCCACTTACATTGGCTACATACATATATCGGTAAGAAGCAAATCTCCTGTCAGAAGCTGCGTCTGGTGGAGACTACTATTGCTGATATAGCACTTGACCAAAACACACTTTGTCATGATGCCAAAGAACGAAAAGAGGATATCTTTGTATGTGACGAAAGGGTAGCTGGAGCAGCAGTAACCAGGAAGGGCAAAATGTGTGTTTTATGCCAGCGTCACGCAGCAGAAAAGAGCTCGTCCGACGAGTCTGAGAGCTGAAAGGAACATTTTCATTATCAACACGACCGGTGTTCTCTCGATCTTTACGCAAGTTTTAGGGGTCGGCCATGTTTGCAGGTCACCAATCCCCGTCCGCTGTGATACTGATAGGATGAAAAATAATTTGTGCACTACAAAATTTTGTGGTAAAGATGTCCCATTTTTCATTTGGGAAATCGAGAAGTCCCTTCCGTGTTTTCTATACGCCCTGAACCTAAACCTCTGGACTTGAATTCAGACCTGAACCTGAACGTGGGTTTAGGTACACAGCACTAGACATTACCATTAGAATTTCGAATGCTGACTCTTACGAGCATGCGGCATTTCAGACTTAGTTTCCCACCTGAGACATTTAACGTGATGGAGGCGAGTCCAGCGGGTTCCACGTCATTGTCGGCGATACACCGGTAAAAACCTGCGTCTTCAATCCTCACGCTGGAGATGGTGAGGAGACCCGTCTTTTCGTCCACTACTGCTGTGCTGGGGAGTGCTGTTGTCTTGCTGCCGTCCCTCCTCCATCGAAAGCGAGGACTGGGTAGAGCATCGCCAACACGACATCTGATTCTGACCTCGTCACCTTCTCTTATTGTTCCCCTTGGGGAGACGATGTATGTAGTCGTCATCGTTGGAGGATCTGAAGAAGATTTTGGAGCATAGTATCCTTGGCCTGAACGCTTTAACATGCCGCGATTCCTCGTTTCTGTTTCATGTCTAAGAAAGTTATCTTTCCACCCACAGACACGGGTTCAACAATACAGCAGTCAGAGCAAATTAGTACAAAGTATAAGGTCACCAGTCAATAGAAACTACGTTTAGTGGGATATATTGCACATCAAGCCACATGTGATATTGCACTGTACTTTTAACAAAATAAAAAGATTGCACAATATATATAGAAGATGACTTTCTCAATGCTCCAAAGTAGGTGCACGTACATTGGTCCGGTGTAACAGCCCCGAACCTTACCTAACCCTAGACTATACCCCTGGGGTATAATTTGGATTAGCCTAGAATACCCCCCCCCCCCACGCACATTGTAAAGGTGTGGTGAGGTGTTAAGGGCGGCATCAGATAAATCCCCCCCAGTCAAAAGTATACTCCGAGAGTATAATTTCAACTCTAGATTACTCGTACACACACACACACACACACACACACACACACACACACACACACACACACACACACACACAGTGTGTACGAGTAATCTACTCAAAAATCCCGCAGTCCCCATCTGAAAGTGAAAAATGTTACGTCGACGCCGAACTTACACGATGTCGCCCATGTTTTCTGTCAATTAACTTGTGAGTGAATGCCACGATGAAAGAAAGCATTCAGGGTGTTCAGGTTTCCTAGCAAATATTGTCAGGGTTGAAGTCATCTGAGAAATTGGACAAATAAATGACTCAGCCATTGAAAAGTCAGTAAATGCTGTTCTGTACAATTTTTCCGGGTGTCTGTAAATTGGCGTGACGACTATTCAAACATAATATCAGGTCAAAACAAGACTTCTTTCCTATCGCAGGAGCTACCTACCACCACGGAATATCAATAGTTTGTATAGAACACTTTCCTGGGTACCATCCTGCTTTATTAATAGTTCACGTCCGCTCTCACAGTCGATAATAAGTAGGGTTGTACCCAGGCTAATAGAACACGAGATACTACAGTACCACAGAAAGCCGCCAGGTTGTCCATAGTATTGTCCTTTGTTTCGAAACCCTCATCCACATACGTATGTACCAAATGCCACAAAGAGCCGTAAACATTTTAGTTATGCTGTACACAACCTAACGGCATTCATTCTTGGAGAAGGTAACCAACTATCTGTAGATTAAACACAAAGCTATATCACTATATGAACTCTACTTACATTGAATCGTCAGATTGATACTTGCCATCCCATCAGGTAGGATTCCGTTTCTCGCTCGGCATTGGTAGAGTCCTCCGTCTTCTTTACGCACGTTGGGTAAGACGAGAACACCCGACGTCATGTTGTAAGTTGCGAACAGAGGCAGGGCGCTGTCAGGTGTGGTCCAGAAAAAGACAGCGGGGGGATTGGAGTCTGTCCCGCAC